CAAAGATTTAAGCGAGGCCACAAGTTGAATCATGTGCCAGTATTGCTGTGCATTGAAATGCACGTAAGGTATTCGAATATACGTGGCTCAAATTTCTGCTTGTGGCTTGACTGGACGTACTGTTCCAGCTTATGCGTCATCTACCCTTATATAGGAATATGGCTGCAACTAATGATTATATTCATTAGCTCTGCTTAAACAAAGAGAGAAGTGAATCATGTTTAACATTGTTCACGTGCAGTGATGCTGGGATATCAACAGAACAGGTCAAATTTGCTAAGTTACTAAAATGGTACATAAGCTTAATTAACCATTATAACTTTTTTTAAGTGACTGGTGTAAGGGTCAAGCTAGAGTGTATTCCATGCAGCACACTGGCAGACACCAACACACAACGTTCAGTGTGTAAAACATCATAACAAAGGGAAAATGACTTGTATAGTTTCCAGGTATATGCCTTGAAATAGCTTTTGCCTAACCAGTAGTCTAAAGGGGTTATGAAAATGACCCAGGTTAACCTATTATTTAAATTACTGACAAGAAAATAACCATCAATCATTTAATTCATTAACGAGCTCCTCGTTTCTTTTAACTGTCAAAATGTAATAAATGTGCTGCATAAGAACAGCAGTTTGTTTCATTTTTTAAATGCCATATTAGGTTGTTTAGTTTAGTCATTATAAAGATGTTTACTTAAAAGTGAATGAACACTGTTACTATTTTCTTTGCAAAAAAGCATTAAGAGGAAGTTCAATGACCTTTCATGACAGTCTTTGTAAATATTTATTTCCAAAAATATTCATTCAGTTGCATCACATTTGAGAAATCCTGTCTGTCTTATTTTAGACTGAAACTCTGAGACTGAGATTGTTTGAATTATTTTATCAAACACTACGATTAGCAAAAGAAGAAGCCAAGAGAAGAGGAAAGAAAAATGCAATGGAAAAGGGGATGGGAGGGAGGAGATGGGGGGAAGAGAAGTTGAAAGGCTTCTTTCATCTACGTCTGAATCAACTGTCAACAATACAGGAAATTATCGAGGGAGACAAAAAAAGAAAGAAAGATGGGAGACGGGATTCTGGAGAGCAAGAGGGGCAGGGAGGAAGGCAAGGAGGACGAAAGAAAGGGCCGAGAAGGGTAAACATTACAGTTCTATGCCAAGCAAACATCAGATGCTGGGATACTTCAACAAAAAGCCACCGTTCATTTGGGAGAGAAGAAGATGGAGCAAGAGAGAAAGAATGGGCAAAGATGCGAGTGTGTGGCAACAAGCAGAGACACCCAGTCAAAAGCTGGGAAATGGAAAGTGAAAGCATGGAGCGTCAGACAAACAGCTGCTGTTGTTAAATAGGACAAAGCGTTTTTTTCTCATAACACATCCATGCATCTCTTTCTCAGTGTCTGTTTGCACAATATCCTGCAGCAAACACAGGGTTTGACCTCATGAATCAGATGAGTCATCTGTAACTTAATGTAACTGTATATTTGCAAACACACTTCATGAAACAAATCGAGAGATGCAGGACACTAAACCTGCACTACAAATTCTTCCTGTAGGACATCATTACTCCACACTCGTACGTTATCTTGAACAGAAAGACAGTGTTACTTACAGTAATTAAAAAACACTTGTAGGTTTTGGATGGATGTTCGGTCTAGAGGTTTCCTGCAGTGGGTCACGTGACAGAGGCAAGGCAGTCTATATTACTGCATGTAGAGTCCATGGACTTTACTGGTCAAGAGACCAGAGAGGCAGCAAGGAGATAATCTACAGAAATCCTGCTTTTGCACTTTAGGTGTTGACCTTTTGACCTCACAGTAGAGGAACTCTTAATCACATCCAACTTACAAATAAGATAACCTCTCATCACTGTCAAGGAAATGCACCTCCGAAACAGTAACAGTGAAGGTAGCAATCTTTCTGGGAAGCACACCTGTTGCATCCGGAGAACCAGATGGCAGAAGAGACAGCAGGATACATAAAAACTGCAGACATACAGTAGAGCGGTGAAGCACAGTACACAGCAAACACACACCAGTTACTAGAAGGAAATATTCAGAGCAAATTGATGTATTTAAATGGTCGGAATCAGTACTATAAATAATAATTGCTACTGATTATATGCAGACATGACAAGAACTGCAGATCATAAATGTAACAAATTTAAAAGCAACAATTATTTTCAAATCTAATCTTGCTTATTTGGTCTATAAAATGTCTACAACTATATAAAAACTATTTAAAAAAACTACAGTAACAGGAATTCATGAGGAGTTTTATCATAACTTTCTTCATGTTTGCCTCTGTTTCACATGCTCACACACACACACACACATTCCAGGGCAGCATTGTTTTGTCTATGTAACTCTATAGCTGCATCTGCCTGTGTTCCTGAAAAACAAGAGCTACTTGGTAACACTACCCATTTGATAGCGTGTTCTAGGTTACCAGTCAGACACATAAGTACACACATACAATGGCTAGCATCATCCAAGCTGCCCATTCCCTGACCCCATTTCAACCAGGCATACCAAAGAGTTTTATTAGGCCAGTAGCGAACCAGAGTACTAAGACAAAGAGAATCCTCCTGGCATCCTGAAATCACATGTAACATGACAGTAACTTCCTTATTGTTCTTAGAATAACCACATTCTGAATATTGGACCCAAAGCTTCTTATTTTAATATCATGTATGCTTTCTGTGTAGATGCTGGAGAAGTAGAGAAGAAAAATGTATGCCACATAAAAAGAACTTACCAGTGAATTGACATATAAGATATTTTAGCCTCCCTTTTCCTCATTATTTTGGTTATCACTCATGCAAAAACTAATTAATTGGATCACAGAAGCTGCAATGTTAAAAATCACCCCATGTGTAGGCAGTGACGCACCATCACAGTTAGTGGCACAAAGGTGTGGGCTGCACCTGTGTGACAAATTTAAAACTTACATAAAGTGTTATTCAACCTCTGGGCAAAATACATGGAAAGCTAAAGCAACAATGGTTACCCTCCTTCAATGTGACTCCAGTATAACCCCAATCTGACTGTGTCTGCTTAAAGACGCACAGAGAAAATGTGAAAATGAGAAGATAAGGATCATTTGATATAAAGTTGCATCAGTTTTAAGGCAATTCCTTGCTACATATATCCTAGGAGTTTCAGCTGTGTACAATGTTGCACATTTAATACAAGCTTCAGGCAAGAAGCTGTGCTGAATCTGACACCAATGAAACCCAAAGAATAATGGTGGAGCTGTAAAGCAGGATGGTCCCAAATCTGAAAGCCTATCTTACCTTTTAACCTGATTCCTCTTGGGATCTGAGTTAGAGCCAACAGATGCTACTTTCAGCAGAAAAGGCTTTTAATCATGTTAGAGTGCCACACTTTGATTAAAGCTTTACCTGCATCCAGCTGTCCACCTCTCAGCTTACTGTCCACAACTTAACTGTCTGATGCTAAAAGTTTTTGATGCTCTCGTGGAAGCAAGATAAATTGCTCATTGAAGCAGCACTGGGAGAATTCCTTCACACTCTAAACCCAAATACACCTTTTCAGCTGGAAGCCGACCTCATTCATCCCACTCAAAGAAAAGTCAGATATCTTTTTCTCTTTTTTTCGGGGGGGTAAAGAAAGGGGGGAAAAAAATCATGGCCACATCAGCCTTTCACCAAAGGAATGTCACGTGACGTCATCTATTTGGGATCGGATTTCTCCGTCTCCCTTTCCTTCACTTTCTCCCATGAAAAAGTAGAAGAAGCGTACATGTGTGTGATGCGTTGGGTAATCCCCCCCAAGCCCGTAACCAATATCATCCGACGTGGACCTGAAGCGCACAACACGGGGAGATATGCAACCCCCAAATCAATGCTCCGATTACACCTCACCAATACTGCCACCACCAGTAATGACATTTTAATGACAACTATTGAGTCCCGTTATTAAACAGGGGGAGAAAAAAAGAAAAACCTGACAAGCTACCAACGATCCTGCAGCCCAACTCATCTCAAGTTTTCTCCTAATGCGGTGGGCCAAGGGCCTATAGTCTTTCTGTAACTACGTGGAAGTCAGATAATCGATCGTGTCGAGCAGAAGACCAATGTTTGATTTCCACGTCTGCATCAGAGAGGCTGAGAGAAAAATTTGTCTCCTGCATAAACAGACACGTAGTCGTTTCTGGGGGGGAGAGAGGGTGAGAGAGAGAGACTGGCTGGCTGGCTGGAAGGAATGCTAGGATATGCTGGAGTTGGGATTTTTTTTTCCTCCTCCAAAGCTTTTCACTGCATTCTGCAACCGCACACAAAGTCAACGGAAAGTCGATCTTAAACGGCCCCTTCAACGCTTCTCGACAGTTATCCAACACAACAGAATCCCCTATAGTGTCAATTCAATGATTTCGCAACCCCCTCTGTCAAATCTGACTGCCTCAGCATCTTCCTTTCCAAGTTATTTTCCAGCTATAAAAGTGCTCATTTCCTGATTTTAAGCAGCAACAACAAAAACGACAATTTCCACAATGCAAGTCGCAGCGCACCAGCAGTTGATTATTAGAAACAAGCCACGGAGACAACGGTTTTCTTCTGTTGCGCACTCACTCCATCTGAAGTCCTCGGAGACAAAAACACATTCTTTGGTGAAAGCTGAGAAATCGGGACCACAAAGAGCAGACTCCAAAACGCACAGTCCGACACATTCACGCGACTAGTGTGATGAATTAGCACGACTATCCCCTCTGCTTTGCTTTTCCTTATTGTTTCAAAATAAAAGGAATTTTTGAGCAACAAAAAAAAAGTTTCGTTTCACCCTCCTCCGCAGTGGTAAAGCAGTTTTCCTTTTTCCTTTGCGTTGGCCAAGTGGCCCAGACTGCCGGCGTCAGCGCTCAGCTCTCCAAACTCACACACAGGCACACGCACTTCTAAAACTTTTTCAACATCCACTCCAGTTGCCTCGATTCCCCCACTTTGTGGGGAATGCTGCTTAAAAACTGTAAAAGGACTCACCTCGCTGCAATAAAATAATCTTCAAACAGACGTGGCTGCGCGATTTTTAATTCCCTGGGCCGGGTCTTGCCTGTCTGCTGGCTCGACGCTACGAGTACTGGGAGACTCCGCCATGTCAATCATAGCCGACCCACATGGAGCGAGATCCCGCCTCTACCGTAATGCACAGTGCGCAGTGAGAAAGCCAAAACAGAACGCTATAGCACGCTTCTCTCACAGAATAGAATAAATGAGGGAGAACAGCTGTTTACAGTCATGAAGAGAAAGAAAAGAAAAACAAAACTAGGGCACGATCATTTTTTAAAGAAATAAAAGTTTTAAAGGAATATTTTAGTTACTTTAAAGCTATTAAATGCCAAATTTGCCTATTTAAATTCCCGATATTATCAAGTAGACTACAATTTTGAAGAGCCTTTAATGAATTATTTATTCCGATAGAGCGCAGTAATGAGAACAAAGCCGTGTATACAAAATTCAAATACTGAGTTATAGTTTATTCTCTTGGTGATTCCACGAAAAAGATCCAAACTAAACACAGAACATGAAAAAAATAATATACGCATAAAATATGAGATCCTTTTATGCTTTTTATTGGTTGTTGACTGCTAAGACATCTGCGTTAAAAGGTTATGTAAGCCCAAACAGGTGGGTGAACTCTAAGGCAAACAAACCCAAGGCTGAATTGATTTTATGTGTCATAATGCTACAGAATATATTCATTCCAGTACCCAGTACCTGTGTCATGTTTCTTGTAATTTCACATTTTTTAAGTTTAAAATAAATTTTAAAAAACTATAATTAAAAAATGTTTTAAAAAAATCACCAAGAACTCAACAATAAATGTAAGTAAATAAATAAGTAAAATAAACTTCTCAAGTAATATACAATACAATAATTTCTTATACCATACATTCAAACTAATGTAACCCATAGCAGATTTTTCGAGAGTGTCAAGTGGGTCAAAACTCTGTTCCAGCGCCTCTAAAACATCTTTAACCACAGACCAAAGTCCCTCTGGTGGCTGAACTCGGCATCATTTAGCCCACCAAGAGCCCACAGTTTCAAGGGTTTTAGGTTCAGCATTGATACCTGAAAAACGGACGTCGATTAATGGTCGGATTTATTTTCTAAAACATATGTGGTGAATTTGCTACAGGTTTTAAAAAGAATAAGACTTTTCCAGTACTGATCAGTGCATGATATGCTACACAATACCATGTTGCATCTGTGCATGCATTCACCTTCTTCCCCCAGGGTTCATTATAGCAAACTTACACACATATACAAATGTGCATGTTAGCGCTTGAAATTAAGACATCATTGCCAACAAGTGCATGTCACAATTAGAACACAAAACGTGTCTCAGGGCCAAAAACGTAATTTGTATAGATTCAATACAAACCTATAAATCCATCATTTGATGAAAACAGTAACTTTACTTTCACAATAAAAAAAAATGGGAGTAAAATCACAGATCAGAAATTGTTGTTAAATTGAAATCCACAACAATTTTTTACTGCACTTTGAGCCCCTCATTGGCTTCAATCACAGAAAATTCAACACTGCAGAAAAACAGAATGACATTGTTTCATTTAATCCTGGCAAGTGCAACGACAAAAAACAGGCCGTTCAATTCGTTACGCCTGTGTTTTGTATATCTCTGTCCACATTGATAATTCTTACTGTATTTTCAAACAGGCACTCGGAGCCAAATACACTCGTTGCCCCTGAGCTCTCCATTTCTCTCAGCTGGCACAGACAAACACATTCCAGCAACTGCACTAAGAAAACAGTCACCGGTGTAATTCGAAGCCAGTAAAAGAAATATGGTCCTTTACCAGGACAATGTGCCTGTGAGGAATTAAATGGGGTTCAATTCAGTGAACACAAATCAACCCAAGGGGGCAACTGATATGGCAAAAAAGACAAATCATACTTGCCCACCAAAAATACCACTGAGGATCAATGTAGTGAGAGAACTCCTCTCCTTATAAGATGTCGGCTCAGCTTTTTCTGCTTTCATGTAGGTTATTTCCACAAAAACACTTTAGATTTCACAGTGTTCCCTAAACACTTGACACCCTTTTGACTATTATGCCTTGTATACACAAAATTCTTTGCCTCATATACCTTATTAGATGTTTGGATACAAATATTGTTATGTAGCTCCTATAGTAAATCCCCCACAAAAAATAATGTCCTAAATGTACAAGCCATAATGCAATATAAAATAATACTTAAACTGTGTAAAGCCATGTCAAGATAAATATTTGTGTGTTCTTTTCAAATTCAAATTTTTATTCAAATTCAAATTTTTATTTGTCACATACACTTTTAGGTATTAAATCCTTCCCAGAAACCATCAAGAACACATTAAATGGTCTTCTTGACATTTTGATCACATCAGGTTCTTTTTCAAAGCAGACCAAGTTGGCTCAGTTGTCATGGAAATATGGATGCTTCTTTCTGAGCCCATTAAGCATATCTTGTTCTCGCTTCTCTTGTGCCTTTTAAATATAATAGCAAATGCCATACAATTTTATGAACACCAATGACTTATGAGTTTACGTCCTTACACCACACTAAGCTCCTCTGTCTTAAATGCGTCCTCACAAGGGGGGATGTAGATAAAGAGAAGCAGATGAGTTAGGGAAGGGCTTAGCTTTAAAACAAGAGAGAAATGAATTGTGCAACAGCAGCCCCAACTCAGAATCAAGAAGCTGTTCCCACAATTTTGAGCTGTGGAAACAATGTATAGTAGTCAGAGACAATCAGTCTGTAAATTTGAAAAAAATACCTTCTTGATTTAAATAATTCTGCTAACAAAGCCAAAGTAGGCCAACCTCGAGTGACGTGTTGGACCTTTACAGACATTTAGTCACATTAGATTAGATCTGTGGAGGAGAGCGGATGAGGAAAGACTGGAGGGAACAGATCTTGGAACAGCAATGCAACTATTTCCCCTGTATGTCAGGGCCAGGCCTCCACAACTGCCAGATGTTTACCACCAACCCAGCTGCTTTCTCTCTTGCCTTCTTTCTCCTCATCTCTCCTCCTCAGATTTTTTTTTCTCTCTGATTCTCTTTAAACCAAGCCCACCCTGTAATCATGCACACTCACCAAAGGGCTTTGAAGTAAGTGGAATGTGTCCAGCCATATGATAATATGCACTCTATATTCTTATAACAGATAGAAAGTAAAGAAGGGAAAGCAGGAAATGAGATTATTGGACAGCAGCCAGCTCTTCAGTGTGGTTTTCTAGATGTTAATTATGCCCTTACTCCACTCTTAGATCTTGCACGTGTGTGTGTTTATGTATGCATTTATGGGTGTATGTTGTGTGTACATATGTAGCGTTTCTGTACACATTATCAGAAATGCTGGTCTAAGAGCGGGTAATGGGCTGATAATCGGCGCCTTGGAACAGAGAGGTGCAATATGATGGCGCGTGCATGAGTGTGTGCATGTAAGGTACTTCTTTCCAAAGATGTGAGGATGGAATTTACCTCATCATGAGTTCAACCCAAGGCTCTCAGCAAACCAGCAAGTGCAGACATGTCTCCCACCTCTCTGCCCCCTCCGAACCTTTTTTTCCTCCTTTTTCAGTATGCAGGGCAGCTGGTCGGACCGTTATATACTAAAATGATTTCTCTGACATGTGTTTGTACCTCCATGACCTAAATTGTGCATTTAATTGGAATACAGTACTGTGCAAAAGTCTTGAGCTACCTCTGAGCTCTTCATATTTTGCAAGGCGAATGAGTAATAGTTGTAGTGATTTATTAAAAGATGTGAAAAAATACATGGAAATATAGTATACAAGGCAAAAACAGACTTTTTAGACTTCTAATGACCTTTAAAAATCAATATTTGATATTGCCACCTTTATTCTTCAGCCAATCGTGTTCCATTGTGTATGCTTTTGCTGCATTGGCCTTTTTGTTTGCGATCATTCTTTTCAGATGGTATTCCATGATCAGTCAAAAGCCTCCTGACCTTGTCCATACACACAGATGACAATTTTATGATACTGGTTATCATTGCAGTTCTTGTGTAACTTGGCATACCTCAGTCTTTCCCTCCTGCTTCCCGTCCTTAAGGATGACTTCCTGACAGCCACCCTTCCACTGAGACCATTCCTGATGAGGTTTGAGTGAAGAGTATGTGGATAAATGGAATGGTGAGATGCATCTCCCAGGTCACGTGTTAGGTGTTTGCTGGATTTCTTTGTCCTGTTTTTTTAAGGACATGACGTTCATCTCCTTTTGTTTTTCACTTGTCCAGTCTCCTCAATGTTTTAAGGAGACAATGCATGCCATGGTGAGATATAACATTTTTTTGGCTAATACCTGTGTGTCAAACTGCATAATCTTTGGCATTATTTATAATTTCAACTAAAGAAACGCAGCTGGTTCTACAATTGGTTCTTTGCTAACTTCTTATTTGTACACATGACACTGTTTAATCTATGGTTTTTAATTCACTGCATTACATCAGGATATATATGTAATGCAGTGAGAATTTAAATACAAATTTACCAACATGATATGCTAGAAAGAGAAACTAATGTTAAAACAAATTATATCTTTTCTCTTATTTGGACTCTTTTACCATTTTAGGCTTGTTTTGGGGGTCTTTTGGCTTGAAATAGATAGTATTAATATTCTATTTAGTATCTCTGGAACATCTGGAACAAGAAGCAATTTCAAAGGCTTTCTTTGCCCAAGCTCATCTCTTTGTCTCGCTTTGATAAGACGAATTGCTTCCAGTTGTTTCCTTCCTCTTTTCAGGACTTTCTCAGACAGCTTTATCCAAAGCTTATGTTTCTGGCATCACTGGTATGCATGGAACAAGTACCGCACTCTACATTAATCAAGGCCTTACAGTGCCCATGCACTTCTCGTCGATGAGATCAATTGGTTCCAGTTGTCGCCTTACCATTTTGTGGGTTTCCCAGTCAGCTTTATCCCCGCACAGTGTTTAGATGAGATTTGTATTTGTTCCATCTTTGCCAATCATGTCATATGTTCCATCTTAAAGAATACCTTCCAGTCATGACATCACGGTGGGGATTTCACACTGGCTGGGTCACCCCACCATAGGGTGGTGGGCGTT